CGAGGTGTAACATATGGGATATGCGTTTCAGTCACTCTGTTCGTGTCTTACCTTGCTTCGGAACGGTGTTTTGTGGTTTCGCAATTTTGCTTGCATTATTTGTGCTTGAAGAAACCGCTGAAGGTTTGTCAGTTTTGATATTGATTGTCACCTAATAGCACCGCAGTCCCACCAAGTTTGGCCTTTGAATTATCACGGGGATTGTGGATCAGTTCCGGCTAGTAAATTTGTTTCCAGTGATCTGCAGTCTGTTCCGGCCTTGAATTGGAACAATCGGTGAATACGCGTATCGCTCAGCGGTTCCTAAGCGTTTAATCGCTTACACATTTGGCTGGTGCACATTAGCCGCATCTACTTGACGCGGATACCCAAACAGTTGCTAGGTAGCCAACTGCATGCTCGTAAGCGCAACGTGCGCAAACCGAAGTTACATTACTAGAACATGACCAAGGTGAGTTAACCACAAACTAGCATTGATTTTAGGCGCTTGGAATCAAAAACAGGGAATCGGCACCAATGGAGAGAGCTTATCAAGAGGGCAGTTGTCCAGCCGCAGCAGAAAGCACTATTGTATGTGCAAGAGGACATTCGGGTGAGGAAGCGACAGACGCCGATGGAGTTTACTACTACATGAATGTCGAGCGCACGGTGCTGTAGTAAATACGGTCGCCAATGTCTCAGACATACCAGCCACTAGCTTGACCACCTTAGGCCAACTTCTGGGAAAACACTAGTCAGCTGAATATGCAAACAACATCAGCGCAGCGCTTGTTGAGTGCGCTGTTTCCGGTTCAGTTCCGTTTACTAACTTGGGTCCATAAGGCGATTGATAAGGCGCTTGTTGCACATCATCGCTGTGGTTGGTTTGTACGTGTGCTAACGTGTTGCATTTCCTGCATTTCAAGGGTTGGTTGTTCCTTGATATCCACGTAGTTGCTTCGCTTGTTTTGAATGTAGACAAAGGTGCCTAGCTGTATATCAGTCTCCACCCCCTTCGAGACTGACTTCAGGAGAATGTGAAACGTTACTGGGGGAAAGGGCACACCGTCCCCGTGACTGCGCTAGGCTAACAGTGTGTTTGTATACATCCTTTGTGGAGAGGACTACGGAATAGCCATCATCTTATGTACGTCTGGTACGCATGATTCCCTACATAGATAGACAGGAATGCTGCTGTTGTGCGTGTTGATGAAGTGTGAGCCTGCTCTGTTGACGAAACGTAGCTCCAATCCACATGGTTCCCAGTCGTATTCATTCGGGTTTACCCTGGTTATGGGGTGTGTGAATGGAACTGTGCGTGGCTCAGGGCAAGCCACCCATGGACCCTCTGTAGCCGCAGGCGTCCTGTGGCTGTACTATGGAGGCCGCAGTGACAGCTTAATCCGGAAATGGGCGTGGCCAACCAGTTTCGAGGATATCAAAGTTTAGGGTGATATGTGGGATACCAACATAGTCACAACATCTGTCGCGACCGGCGACAATTCACGTACTATGATTCGGAGTACGAATACAATTTGTTCAGGCACCATCAATGAAAGCTGTTCAACAATTATTGGAGCTATTTATTCAGTGTTCAATAAACGTGTTCGGACGTTGCCACCTAAAATGTATGAGTAGAAAGCCGACACTTTTTTACAATATCTGTAAATGTCAGTCTCATAGGGTATGTATGTATTCAACAAAGCCAATAGTACAATTGGCATATGCCCACAACGTAGGGAAATATAATTAAAAAAACAGAGGGAGGAAATGAATATAAAACAGTGCTCATTGGAAAAGATTGTCACAAGAAATTCGCCATGATATACGGTTTCTTACCATTTCCGACTGCGTTTTCAGCCATGTGTGTTCGTGATCTTTGTGACCCAAGCCAAGGAGTCTACAGCCTCCGATCACGACTGACTGTGAGGTTAGCGCCCTCATGTTTTCGGTCCAAGTCTTAGGTTGGCCATCTTGTTTTCGTTTCTAGCCGACTTCTGGCGCCGAAACAGTTTCCGAAGTGGACGAACTTGGCCACCAGTTCCAACGAGTGACCTGAAAGCGTAAGAATAGGAGAAGCGCATAGCCAACGCTGCAGGAAGAGCTTGCACTTCGATGGTACGAACGTCATTCCAGACTGGCAGATAAACACCTTCAACCTACACAGGACATTTTGGGTGGCGTGTGAGGAATCGCAGATCACGGCGATGTTGTCTGCATAGTCCAAATCATGTAGTCGGTCCCCCGGAAGCAGTTCGACGCCGCTGGGTTCGCAGTTCTTCGGAGCACTCTCCAGGATATCGTCCGTAGCGAAACCGAACAAGAATCGGGATAATGAACAATCCTGTCCCACAGCACTGGTGAAATTAAAGGGGGGGAGTCCGCCGTACACAAGCACTCAGCCAGAGGTATGTGAGTAGATGGCTTGAAGAATGGTGACATGCTTCTCGTACACTTCCCTTCACAATAAACAACTCCAGAGTGCAGCCCATTCAACCGAGTCAAATGCGACTCGTATGTCTAAGAAGACAGCGATCATTGGCCGACCAAATTTATGACGACCTTCGAGTATTTTGCGGAGTGTAAAGATGTGGCCGACGCAACTCCGACCGGATCGGAACCCAGCTAGCTCTTCACGTTACTCTGTTCTCGGACCAGGCTGAGCCTGCTTAAAAGCATTTGAAAACAACACAGGTGGGGCTAATCCCTCTGTTGTTGTTGCAGTCAGTACTGGCGCTTTTGTTGAAGAAGGACACGATATCCTCTAAACTCCATTTAGATGGGACAACTGCAGTGTCCCAAATTTCTAGCAGCAGGGAAGTTAATTCCCGATTACGTTATGGACCTCCATCTTTTAACAGAGCTGGAGGGAGCTGATCTGGGCCAGGGGCTTTGTGGCGCTTTTAGAGGAGAAGCTCATTAGCACCCTCAGCATCAGACGGTGGTGAATCATCTGGACACCAGGAAGCACTGTATCCCAGAATGGGAACTCACCGGTGCTGCTGGCCAATTAAACTGGTGCTGATGCTTTCCAGTTGCCCACGCCGTGGAAGAATGTAGACTTATTGGACACCACCTGTAGCCTTGGGTCACGAAAAATCTAACTGCAAGGTTACGGGCCGAGTGACGTAGACCGTGAAACGTTGAAAGCCTAATGTCAAGGTGAGGATAAAACGGCTTTCGAGTAGAAACAAGCTACTCAAAGTGCGCATAGGTCCGAAGTGAAACAGCAAGAAGGCCAGGATTCTCTGGACCACCAAACTCGCCAGCAAGCACGAAGCTATTGACAGCCTGGTGGTTCATCCACCTCCACAGAATCCTGTGGCCAACGTTCTTCATCCGCCATCCACTAAGTACTCAGTTCTGTGACCAGAAATGAGTGGTCACATTGGCTTTGACACAGCGTCTTACAAGCACTTGTGGTATTTAATGAGGAACCAGGTGACTAGCCCAAGACTCCCCACGCTTTAGTACGCTGCCGCTGATTGTTCGGGACTGCTTATTCATATTGTATGTAAATGGCCGAGACTTCTTCACGCTTAAATTCGCAGAGAAGGCATTCTCCTATCCGCAACCTAGGGAGGCGCCCGTTGGCGTACTGCTCCGCCGAACCAACGAATGATCGGTTCACTTCCAGGTGACCGTGCAGGTGGAGTTTGTAATTTTTGTTTATCCAATTTAGTGCGGACACTAGGTCAGCAGCCAAAGTAACAACACTCCTACAATCAGGTATGGAGGCTGATAAACAAAGTAAAGTCTAGACAAAGTTACCTGGTTCTCAGTTGCATCCTTAACGAATCCTGCACTGAAAATATTTGTGAATAGATCTAATGAATCCTGGTCCTCCCTGTAGCATTACGCACAAGTGGAACAATAATTTTGACGAGTAGAGGGCATAGGTCCAACATGTCCTGTAAATTGGTAATGGAAGAAATCCCAAATTCGAGGATCACACGAGTGGAAGGAAAGTGCCACGGTGAAGACCGCCTAAGTAGAGCCGAACAATGGGGAGTGGTGCGGGTTGATTACTATTTTGATTATTTCCCTTAGAATTATGTCCACTTTGAATTGTTGCCAACTGAACCATCAGCCTTTTTTTAATTAACGTCTACTAAAATCCCTAACAGGTTGAGTTTCTCACTATTTATTGGCGGTTACTTATCGCATTACATGTTACAATCTGTATAGGGCGCCTGTGTTAGGTTTGATCACTTAGGTTCCAAGCTTGGCAACCTTGGTTGAAGCGCGACCTAGAAGCGATAGAGGCACCACAACGAAGGGCAAGAAAGAATGTAAAGGGCATGCGCCATCACTCTTACCATCGAAGGCTGAAGTTGCTGGGAATTTTCAGCGGACGCTATCAAAGGCTGCGCGGCGATCTCATATTAGCGTATCAGATACTGAGTGACCCCAACCACGTATGCTACCATTTGCTGAAACTTAGCCACAACACGCAGCTCAGGGGTAACAGCTTAAAGTTGAAGGAACAATATAGCCGTCTAGAGTGTCGACGGAATTACTTTTCCCTTCGGGTTTGCCAACCCTGGAACGCACTCCCAGACTCAGTTGTATTCTCTCCTACCTTGGATGTTTTCAAAAAACGACTAGATGTTGCTCTCAGCTCCCAGCATTTTGTTACCTAAATTACTCTATTGTGGATTACTCCAAGCATGCTTTTCAACAGGATTTGTGTATCAAAATGGACCTAAGTGAGCGACCATATTTTACTTTTCTCACTCCTTACATCAAAGATCACTGCACCCCAGTATCTCTCTGAACGTTTACGCTCGATAATTTTTTTTAATTTTACACTAATTTTACTTGTCAAAGTATTCATTTCGGTAGACGTTCGACAGATGACCCAGACATATTTTGATTTCATCATATTCACCCCAACCATCCTACGGGACGTGTCAAGCACTTGCTTTTATTCCGTGATAAATCATTGTTCATTGTACACAGTGCACCCGATTGTATGCGCATCCTTCGATGTGCGCATGTATTCAGTACAATTCCATTTGTTTTCTTTTTAAGCGCCCCAAATATGACTTGTTCTCGGTGGTACTCCATGTGGGCGGTAGCACCGGTGGGGGTCACTATCATGCATTCATCAAGGATCCCTATGGAACGATTGTGGAGAACACCAGTGAAAGTCCATCGGCAAGTGAATTTAATGCGGTGAGACGCCGTTTCTTCAGGCACTTAAACCGATCCTTAAAGTGGCATTGAGTAAGAGTTGCCTACTGATGAAACAACCCTGTGTTACAGCTACTCTGCAGAATACCAGCGATATGTAACTGTGCTTAGCTATGCGCACGGTTTGACGGACAGTTTTCATGCGCAGTATGTTATATTTTCGTTGTTTTGCCTTGTTAAATGAGAAAAGTTATCTAGGGACTCAGATGAAAGTCACTTTTAGGCTTTTACTTAGCGACGATCGAAAGTTGTCGTCACATCGAGTAACAGGGGGATGGCTCGATTTTGAGCTATTGTCTTTTCTAACCAACGGAATGTAATTTTGAAGTCAGTTATACTGTCTTAAGTTACGCATCACACAGCTGACACTTGGTTGTCTGCTCAATTGTTTCCCAACTTTAGTCCTGGGGACAATATATTGAGTGCTCCGGTAGCCCACTATGAAAAGTTGCCGCTTATAGCAATACTTACAACTATCCTGTTTCTTGCTTCAATGAGGCACATGTGCCAGTGGGCTGTTTCTGATTACACTCCATTTACGGGACAGTAACTTTACTGGTTACACTGATAAAGAACGAAACGCTATACTGCTCTGGAATGCTGCGTGCTTTAACTTGAATTGGAGTGAAAAGTACCACAGAATGTATCATCCAAAAAGGAACTGTGCTTAACCTTGTTGGACAACACAGGTAATATATAACTTTGAAATCACTTTGTGCGATAAAGTCAACTACTTCCTGTCGGTTCATATTGCACTCCTGTAATAGGTATACCTAGTAGTCAAATTATCGAATGTTAACTACGCGTGGCCCGTGCAAGAAACCAATGAAGGGAGCCACGTTATTGAAGCTAAGCACAGTTTCTGTGGTAACAATGACATATCGTATCTTTACGCATAAGAATAACTTGATTTGTGAATGGTTTTGGTCAGTAGCCACTGCGAATGGTAAGAATATCGAACCTCTTGATTAATTTAACTGCGTTAACCACAAGGTCATCGCAATGTCTGTCCGGAATTCCCGACTGTAACATTTGGGGCAGATTAATCTAACCACTCTCCTCACCAAGAAAGGTAGCTGGTTTATTCAGCTTGGATGGCTGCCGAAGGTCGAGTAAAACAGACATATTTTTACTTGGAAGCCAAACTCGCTTTGTAGTGTCGTAAAAAATATCTAAGCCAAAGTTTGGTAGTCTAGTTCATTCATTTTTCCGTTAGTGTCATCAGGTACTAGGATTTAAGCGGTGGTGTGAGTAAGCGTACACAGTTCACCGGCGAAACACTATTCATCGCCTACACTGCGTAGGATACGATTGACACCAGAGCGCTCCAAGTTGTGCCGAAGTCATTATGCTTGTCATATCAATCGAAAATAAACACAATCTCCGTCTTTGCTTTACCATTCAGAACAATAAATGTGACATTCCAACGCATCATTTGATGAGCCAAAGCATCGATGTGTTAGTAAGTAGCAAGACTATTGATACGCATCTTCCTGCAAATCATGCAACTGAAGATCCACCGGTTGCTTATGGTGAACAACCTCAGATATGCCGTCCTCGAGATTGCAACTTTATCAAGTTAACCGGAAGCCCACAGAAGGCAGGTGAAGGCGATCACAGGATACCGTCTGCAACGCCGGACAACTTATCCACATCAGCCAGGATAGGAGCGACTTACGCGAACCATTCCCTGAATACGGCACAAAGTTATCAAAAATCTTCACATCCATTGGTTGTTAAAACATCTTGGACCTCTAGAATATCCCAAGAATATGAGAAAAAGTGGCCACCAGATCTTGGAAATGGTGCATTACAGTAAGCAGTTTTCTGACCGCTTTACAAAAATTTTGTAGTAGTTCGGTTCTTTCGGGTTATTTCTCTGGCACGGAACATAGAATTTGTGCTTAATATCCGAATTAAATTTTGTTCCTTAAGATATTCTACACGATGTATACGCCTTCGGGTGATCCAAGTAGTTTATTTGATTCGTCTATGGGTACCTGAGCATTACTTTCTTTGTACATCATGGTCCAATTCGCTTTGTTAAGCTATGTCTCACCTCGTTGATAATATACGAATGTACGAATATACACAAGAAACAGCAGACGGCTAACCATGCCCCCCAGGTCGAAGTCAACGGCTGCATTCATCATACTACACATATAAGTAACAATGAATAATGCTCGGTCAGTCAGCGACAGATAAACACCTACCAGATTTCCACTTGTTTGCACTTGTTTAGGCTGACATCTTACTCGGTACTTTAGTGATTTACTTGACACCGGTACACCAGGTTTGCCTTACAAGTGCGAGTTCACCTGAAAAGTGGTCGTTCTGATCTAGATTCCGTAAATACCATCCCATGAAGTCGTTTGTAGATATCGCCTACTTTCATTTAGATGCAACCAAGAAGAGACTTCTTATGAATTCCGTAACGCTCATTCTTTCATTATTCTTGCGAACACGTCTGGTTCCCATTTCAGTCCGCTCGAAGAGACAGCATCCATGGCAGCATGCGCTCCGTCCTCAGAACAAATGTACCTCCCTCAGTGCACCTGTGATCGCAACATTACAGGACGAATGAGACAGTCCTTGGTGGTCGAAACAAGCACCGGCCGTCAGAAGCTGGTACGGTCCAAACAACTATCTTTGGTACAAACACTGCAGGACAGTCCGCAATTCCCGCGGCGCAAACCCAAACCTCGGAGAATTAAAACCCGATCGACTGAGACAGAACAGTCATCCATTAAGCGCTTGCCGTTTGATAGCAGAATCACCAGTGCCATCAGCGTTCAGCAAGTGAAACCAAACGCAACGGTCAAAACAATCCAGGGACGAACGCGTTCTGCACATGCAGCTGTGCGTAGTAGACTAACCGGGTCTGTAATAGTCGAAAGCGATGCACTAAAATTCCAAAACAAATTACTTACGCCTTCATCGCACTCTCCTAAAGGCATTTCTGACCGACGCCACAGAAGTCAGACACATGTTGGCAGAGTAGGGTCCAGCTTGAAAGGTAACAGCGACTGTACTGCTCCAGTAGTGAGATTGGACGGTCGCAACAATTCTTCAAGACAGCGTATATCATCCGCCTCATCCTCATCTTCAACACCTCGAACGCTTACTGCTTCCGGCGCCATAGCAATTGGCCCTGTTCACGTTATGCACGCTACCCCAAAACACGCAGCATGTGTCACATGGCGATCGAGGCTTTTCGAGGAGACCGGTGGGGTGGATTCCATAGCAAAAGCACGCAACTATGCAATGAATTACATTAAAGATTCGAGATCAGTTTCCAACTTGCGACCTGTCAACATGACAGGTTACCCAAAGTGTCCTGGTGAGCCACCTCCAGTTAATAGCTCGTTGTCCACCATTCCACCTGTGTCCCGGAGTAATGCGCGGTGTCCATCCCGATCGACGAATTCGCTTGAGTGTAGCGTAAGTTGCCCCCAACCTGCCATTTACAGCTCTACGTTGTCAAGGTTATCTGCCAATTCAGGTTCTGTGGAGTGTCCTTTCAGTGGGCGTACCGCTCCAAAGAGGAACACTGAAGAAGAAGTAACGGCAGATAGCAGCACAATTAAGCAGAACTCGGCGGATGATAGCCACGACAACATGAAGTGCAGTACCGAAACACGTCAATGTATGCCTGAAGTTTTGGTTGGTCGCTGGTTCGACATAAACGATGATTGCATAGCTGAAGTGGACCCGGCTACGTTTTCGCGTGTTTTCGAAGGGCCGGAGTGTGCATACATGCTGTTTTATAGACTCATGAGTTTGCCACTTCCCGTAAATTTACTGAGACCCTGAGAAGAGTATCTGTAGTGGAAGACTGGGACCACACTTTCATTGCTTTTGCGTTTTATTTGCAGCCTCATGGTTTTCTACATGTGAGGATGATTCTACGTACCTGTTTTCTCATTAACTTCGCTACGTTTTGATCGCCGGGCTTCCTACCCTCATTTTTAAGCTGACCGGTGTATGGTTCATTATCAAAGGTATATGTGGGTTCTGTTAATCCAGTAGAAGCTGGTTATTTTCGGTTTTGTGCTACCCAATCTGTGCTTGAAATAGCATTGAGCCATGTGGAACCGCTAATTCCACGTTCATTGACGGGCACCGGAAGCAATATGTGAAACCGTTGGAGGTACCTGCCCTCCCCATATTACTGACATAACCCTCTTAACCACACTAAACAAGAACTATGGTGGTGTGTACAGCAGTTAGCGTTTTACAGCTGACCACGGTGTGAGTTTGCTTGAGTATCGAGTGAACTACATATTGTGGCACGGGTCGTCGTTGGAAGGTTGTTACTGCAGGTTCATTCAAGGAATCGTGTCCAACAGCTACGTATATATATATATATATATATATATATATATATATATATATATATATATGCTGTCTACAGAGGGTATCTCATTAGAATTACCTGCTAAATACGAAATATCTTAAAAGTTGAAATGCAGTGGGAAAGAGTACATTTTTGGATTTTGTAAACGCCACTTTAAGTTTCTTTATGCTTTTGAGTATTTGTGCTCGATTAGAGATCAACCAGTAGATGAGGCGACAGGTCAACACTTGTGCCACTGAGGTCGTTTACGGGTCGTACCGTCCCACGCTGCCAACACTTTAGTAAAGTCACTATTTATTCTTGTAAAGGAGAAGTTGCGCCTTCTCATCAACGTGCAGGTTCTGGCTATATTTTGGAATAGTAGCTGCCGTGAAACCTATAGTAGGTTAGAAGAACAAAGCTGGCCTATTTCAACTACAGTAACCTCGGAGGTAGATGTGGTGAAGCTGAACCACAGCTTCTGCAACTGCTGTAACAATCCGATCATTGAAAGATCCTTTGTACAGCCTAAATTGTGTACACACTCACTGTCCCCTGTCCACAGTGGCACTGTACACTGGTTGCTGAAACAGCTTCACTCAGGAAAAGCAAGTGGTTCAGACCGACTCTTACCCGTTGTCCCCAAGGAATGTGCCGACATTCTGACCACACCGGCTGCTTTATACACATTATGCATTCAACAACATAAAACTGTCCACTGCTGGAGAGGCGTTAAAATCATACCAATACCAAAAAGGGCTTGAACAAATATCAAACTATCTCTCTTACTGCGATAGCCTTAAAAGTGTTGAAAAGTGTCATTTTTGAAAGGATGCTGACACAACAGAAATCAAATTATTCTCCCCAGTTTGTCTACTGCGGTTCCAGGTCAGCCCAACACGCAATAATCTACCTTGTGCACCCGGTTCTGTCATCCTTGGACAATAGGATCAAGTTCATTCGAGTCCGTTTTCTGGATTACAGTAGTGAATTCGGCTGTGTAAACCGCGAATTATTGCTTGAAAATCTGCTCGGTGCTGGAATACCTCCTTCCATCATCCACCTTTTGAAGGATTATTTTACCGATCGTACTCAGGTTCCCCGATTTGAGAACAGCTCCTCGCCCCTAATCAGAAACACCAGGGTTCGTCAGGGAGATATTCTGTCACCATTTCTGTTTTCTTACTATGTAAGCTCACTGCCAGTCCCAGCAGAGGCAACGCTGCTTAAAGACGCAGTTGAAATTGTCCTGGACGTCAATCAATCGATGACTGCCTCTTCAGTCAGACCACAAGATATTCTTAACGATCTTACCCCTTGGTCAAGGGACCACGAGCTGCCGCTCAACATCTCAAAATGCAATATAGTCGTTTTTTCACTGCGCAACGGAGATCGATATCAATAGCTTTTCCAGCAAGGCGAGAGGTGGCACTCTTTCACATCGGTAAAGAATTTGGGTTTTATGCTAGGCTATGATGGATATTTGTATGCACTGATGTTGCTTACTGCAAGAGACTAGCAGTAACAGTACTTGCCGACACAAGTCAGCCCTTCATTGCGTATTGTCTGAATGAGGGTCAATCTCGTCAACCAGATAGAGATACAAATCCATATATGTCGGCACACGAGCGTATCGTTCGTCAATTGCACCCTGCCTAACGCCACTTTTGCTAGACCAAAGCGAAAGTGTCCAAAAATTAACCTACCGGTTTACGCTATGATTGTGCCATTCTTTTTCAATTATTGATCTATATTTTTGATTTGAAAGCTGTATCCCTGAAAGCGTATGCGTTACGGCTGAATATTCGCCCGTTCTGGGTGCATAAAACAATTTCTTGACTTGATTTGACTTACTAAGAGTAAGAGTAGTGTGATCTCTAGCTTGGAAGACGGACTAGATCGACGGAGGTTACTTTGTTCGTCGTTTTTCTCCACGTCATGGGTTTTCCACTGCGTCACTTTTACAGTCGCTTCCGGAAAGTGCAAAAAGCGCTTGCTGGTATCTATTGCTCACAGTCTGTGTACAGATATCGTGCCATCGAAACCATGGCGGAATAGGAAAACAGGGTTAGATTAAATGAAGAAAGAAAACAACCAAATTTTTGAGGGTTTTGATGTTTTTTATTGGGAGTGGGAAGGGGATGATCCATCCACGGTTCGTCAGTGAGCGAAATACTACCCGGTTGCCCAGGCCGAAGTAAATGGTTGTCTGCGGGGGCCCACCCCGAGCCTTTGATCAAGGATCTAACCCACAAGGCAGCAGGGTGATTTGAGGGCATGGCAACCTGTTGGGAGCCGGTGACCAAACAAGTTGCTCATACGCCTTTAGGACCGCACAGGACCAGGGGCACAACATACCCTTGAGGTACAATGCCACTCAGAGTGAGGCAAGGGGTAGTGACTTTATTTAGTGGCGAGTCACATCCGCCACGTCACAGTGTTGTTAAACGGATATATGTGGCTTTTTGTAGAGAGAATGCTTGTCAGGCGAAAACCCACCTGTTACGGAGAGAAAGCTAACAGCTAGCGATCAAGCCGAGAGCAGTGGCGTAGAAGCGGATCGATCTACAATTCGAGAACGAACTCGAGTACAGATCAAAATGCGAATCGATGTGGAATCAGCGGCAAGTTGGGTCATGAATTTGAGCCATTTGAGTTGTGTTAATTAACCTCAATTAGCATCCCCAATGTTGTTGTTTTAGTAGTTGTCCACAACCCATTTATTGCGCCATGTTCTCATACAATACGTCTCTCTGTTTACCTAGTTCTGGCCTTTTGTATTCCGTCGGTTGGCTGGGCGCGTGACTGATCAGTCAGACAGTCGCAGTCTCATAGGGCAGCTAGCAACAGTACAACAGTCGTCAGTGGCAGAGAGCAGAGGTAAAGGAGAAGCGTTATAACACCACCACGTCCTGGAACACTGCAGCCGAACCATTCGCTGGAGCAGGATAATCCCGACGCCCCCAGCTGGCACCACGAAGAGCTTGTTTGGCAAGCCATCTCGATGGACAAGGCAAATGGCAGATATGCGCAATGCGTGACCCAGCTAATGCATATAGTGTCGAAGAATAAGGTTTCTGAAGCAAGGCGTTTTGCTCCAAGCACGCAGTCTCGAACGTCTGTGTTGCTTATGTGACGCTACCATCACATATTTGGCCGACTGTACCTAGCAGTTCGATACGTTGGATCAAAAAGAAGACGCATCGTGTTTGCCTCTTAGTAGTTATCTATAAGCCTCGGAAGTCGTCAGCATACAGCGATAACATTCTGTTAAAGGCTCTCCACTATGCTGTTTCACAAATTCACTATCTTATAATGTGCGAGTTTATTGTTCCATTAATAGAATCAATGTCCCCAAATAAGCCAGCATTTAAATTGAAGCTCCGTGCATTTATAGATATGGCAGTTTTGTATAACTATGTGTATCGACCAACCAGATACCGCGGTTCAAACAAGCCATCACTCCTGGACTTAATCCTGACTAATGAAGAGTTGATGGTTGGGTCAGTAGCATACGATCCTCTACTGGGCCGTAGCGACCATTCATTCCTAACATTTGCTTATGTCGGTTATGTATTGTTGTTATGTATTGTTGATAAAAGAAGCAGGATTCAACGAAATAATACGTACTATTTTAATCTGCACAATTTAGCAGCAATCGTTGACTAAGACCCACAGATGCACAGCTAAGCGAATGACGCATGGAATCAATTGAAAGATACAAGTAACTGAGTCATACAATCAGCATACAAGGTTTTACCAGTACGAGCATCGCGCCGGACCAATACGTGGATCCGAAGCAGAACACGTAAATGGATCAACAAAAGAGATGTAGTCTGGAGGCAACATTCGGTAAGCCCATGTGATATCACTTGGCGGAATTACAAAGTCATCAGAAACTACTGCACGTCGCTCAATAGAGTCGATAAGTAAGAAGGGCGGGAGAACATGGTGCTGAAATTCACGAATAACACCAAACTGCTATGCAGTTATGTGAATGGCAAAAGAAAGGTTAAGCCCGGAATACCACCACACAAGACGGTTAGTGGCCTAACAACTACTGCTGTGGATGCCGCCAAAGCTCTACTCCTGGAGTTTGGCTCGGTAGCTACAAATGTCATGGAACCTTCGCCCTATGAACTCTCAACCAATGTCGTTGGCTTATCCAGCGTCACCTTTACTCCAGCAGCTGTTGCAAGCAAACTACAGTCTCTCCGGGAGTACAGTGCTTCTGGAATCGACATGATCTGCCCAAAAGTACTAAAAACCCTTGCTCCCACCATAGCAACACCACTTGCAACCTTTTTCCAGTGTCTGCTTAACTCCCATACACTCCCATCTGAGTGGAAAAATGGAATTATCACTCCAATATATAAAGGAGGTAAGCGCTCGGATCCTGCTAACTACCGACCTATTACTCTCCTTCTTGTTTTATCGAAAGTTATGGAATCGGTAATCGCAGATGAACTGACGAGATACTTTAAAAGTCTACAAATAATTTCTAATGCCCAACATTGTTTCAGATGCAGACGACCTTGTCTCATCAATTCGCTGCTTACTCGGACCTCATGGACCAGGGCGGCTGATGAAGAAATCCCCATAGATGTGTTTTACTTGGATTTTTCTAAATCATTCGACAGAGGCAAGCACTTCTTTCTCCTCCAAAAGCTTGCTGCCTATGGTATCAAGGGTTCCCTGTCCACCTGGTTGGAAGACTACTTACACGATGGAGCAATCTAGGTAAGAGTAGCCGACACTCACTCTGAAAGCCTGTGCGTCTCCAGTGGTGTACCACAAGGATCCGTCCTCTGCCCGCTACTGTTTTTAGTCTACATTAATGACCTTCCAACAGATCTTCTATCCCCAATGCAAATATTTGCAGGCGATG